TAAAGCTTTTTTGGGTTTTTCACGAGTAGGTAATCGCAAACATTTCCACTTCGCAGACGCGCACTTCTCTCGCACAAAATTTAAATTCACTTAAACGCGATGAATGATTAATTCAAAAGTTACCTCTCGACTTTGCTTCCTCATATACGTAATCCTTCCCAGATCCGAATGGCCAATTCCAGTCACGGGATTCGTCGTCGATTTCTTATACTCAAGCATTATTATATGTATAAAAAAAGTAGATACAGTCACGGCACACGCATATTTTATACATATCGAGAAAAAAAGGGGGCGCAAATACATTGAGCCAACCGAGCTCTAGCCTCCTACACACACACTTACACATAGACATAGAGACAGGCCAGATCGTGTGAGCTGCGTTACGCACCCTCGCATTTTCTTTTTCTGTCTCGCGTGCGTTACATATATACACGCAGAACTCGTTTTTGGAAGAAAATGCGCGTGGGGGCAGGGCGCAGCAGCAGCAGCAGCACCCCTTCGCGCCTGCCGCCGCCAAATCACACAAATCAGTCTTGATGCCGCATTGGCATCTCTCTCTCTCTCGCTCGCTCGATTCTTTCTTTCTTTCATTCTTTCTTTCTTTCTCTTTTTTTTCCAGTTCTCGAACGCGGCGGCGCGCGCGCAGAGGGATGTCCGATCGACGACGGAAAGTGTATAAGCTTCTTTATTCCCCGGACCAACGCCCCATACGCGCGGCACATACGCTGTATTTTGCCCTTATAAACATCATACGTGCGTATGTGTGTGTGTGTGTGCTTCAACGTATATTTCAACGTATACCAGCCCTCGGATCGATAATGAATTTCTCGTCCGATGAAACTTTTTTTTTGCTGCTCGCCCGGGTTTCGATGAGCTAATTTCCACGATTGGCCGAACTCGAAGCGAACGCTTCCTTGTCTTAGCATCGACACTTTTTCCCTTGTTCTTATTTTAACTTCTTCTATTTATCCAATATATCCTGTGAAATGCATAAAAAATGATTTGATAAATATTCGTTTAAAATAAAAACATATAGCACCATCATGAAAATCACAAATATTTCTTAAGCATATCTCATCGTGTCTGTTTTTCTTCACTAACAGTGAGGAATCGCGAACGAATGAATAGTTCAAAGAGCATCTATTCTTTTCTCGAATAATTAAATAATTGGAAGGATAAACAGTAATTATGAACATAACACCAATTGATTTCGTTCTATCACGAAAAGTGATTATAACCATTTAGGCGCTGGATTTGATGCCAGTAACATTTTTTTTAGTATAAGAATAAGCATTGACCAATGTTTTTTCGAAATTTTTCGAATTATAGAGATATTTCACTTTCAATCTAACACTTTTTTCGAATAATCCGATCGAAAAACTTAAAAAATTTTTGATAAATATAAATTCAAGCCATAGATAGATGCTAAATACTCGTTTTATAAATCTGCCCCAAGACGTCAGTAATTTTTTTTAGCAAAGCATCAAATGGTATCTAAGATGCTACTAGATGGCGTTTCCCGAACTCTGAAAATTACAAGAGAAAATGTAAAGTTCTAGGAATAAGTGGAAATCAATTGTCGTACTGCACGTATTTCGTTTACTTCTTCTCGTTTTCCTTCCCTGCTATCGGGGAAGAATATACTATATTTTTTTCTCACGCAGAGGCATGCTCCCTATAACTAAATGCTCGCTATAACAAAATTGTACACTGGGTTGACTTCGATTCTGTCTGGTATATCTTGCATGAGTGCGAGATATACGATAGCTCCACTTAATTTACGTTAACAACGCTCGATGAATTGACCGTATTAATGATCAACGCAACCCTCAATTCTGATCATGAAAAATGAAAAACTTTACATCATAGTAAAATATGATATTTAGTCCATTTCGATTTAACTTGATATTTTTTCAATCCAACCAATATAAACAAAAATGATTGAGTCTTCGAGTTTAGGAAACACTAAAATAACAATTTTATTATTAAATAACACATGAATATTAATTATTAAAACATTTTTCGATTCAAAATGTCTGGTCAATTTGTATTACTAAAGTCCACAAGATCTATTAGTTTTTTTCGTTTTGTAATGATTGAATTGAAAAAAGTGGCATGAACAATTAAAACAAATTTCAAACGCGGAGAGGATGTTAAAGCGCTCTCTAGTAAAGTAAAATAAAAGCATTAGACTCCGAAGATATCGCTTGCGCGTGGTAAGTACGTATAAGCCATGCGTCGATAAAGAAGAAATGATACTTCTTACCGCTTGCAGTTGTAATAGTGAACATTTCAACCGTATAAAAACATAATATGTACCTTGCATCAAGTATTTTAAATATACCTTCAGATGAATGTGTTTTACGTAAAAACGTACCGACTTCAAAATTATTCAATCAAATTAACACGTTTTTCATAAATTTAATATTTATTCGAGTTAGTCAATGCTGTGACGTTGAGTCCGCGATGAAAGAAAAGTTACGCCTCTACAGCCTTTAGAGTTGTCGTATAAGTACTGAAGAAATTCTGAATCTTACCCATATATTATATGTCATACTTCAAAGATCGTGTGCTTGTCAATAAAAAAATCGAAACTCATTCTTTTCAATTTATTTATTTGCATTACATGTAAACAAAGCAACATTTAATTACAACCAATATAAAAAAATACTGCAAAAAAGCTTATATCGACATTACGAGCTTTTTCATGCAGCAGCCAAGCAAATATTATATAAATCCTCGTTCTTTAATCCCTTGGTGATCATCTCACAGCAGAGAATCGGCAGTCGGTCGTGTATCAGCTTCATGAAAGGATCCAGGGCCCAGCTCCGGAAAAATCCTCTCGACAGTTTTTCGCACAGATGCAATGCACTGAGTAACTCATGTTCTTTTTCGAACCTGTACGAAGAGTCTATCATATCAATCGAGCTAGCCAAATTCCAGTAGTCCTTATATGTAAGTCGTTTTGCCGCATCTTCGGGTCGCAGTCGAATAACTTCGTCGAGACGCAGCATCGAACTTCTGTCATCCTTATCAACCTTATCATCCTTATCTTCCTCATCCATTTCATCCTCATCCATTTCAGCAAAAAGGTTTGTCATGAATGCTGGCAGTCCTGGATAAATCCACATCTTTTTTGCTCTTGTTATGAACTTCTCGTCGTCGTACCAACATTTTTCAAGATCTGACGACTTCTCAAACAATTCGTACTCGGCGAAACATTTCATGATCGTCATGGCGTCACTTCGCTTCACTTGATATCCTCTTTTCACAATTCTTTCGACGGCGGCCAACGCGCCGGACGCCAGTTTCAATCTGTCATTGGACGAAATATCCGATTTAATCGATTTATATCTTTCGGCGAAGTAATCATTTGGAAAAACGAAACTAGACAGATCAGCGCCATGTTCGAAAAGAATATCAATGCAATCTGGCCAGAGATTCGCCACAGCCAGCTGCAGTGGTGTCCGGCCCAATTTGTCCTTTGCATCGACCTGTATCAAATGATTTAATTCGTCGCAGACATCGAAAAATAGCTCCAGTGCCTCCTTGACATTAAACTTGAAATTGTCTCTCTTGTAAAATAGGTGCAGAGGTGTCGATCCCTCGTCGTTGGCCGCGTTCGGATCGGCGCCTCTTGTCAATAGCATTTTAACAACATAATCGTTGTAGTGGAGCACTGCCAAATGCAATGGCGTATTACCGAACTTGTCACGGGCATCGATATGTATTGGCTGTTGTTTTTCCTCGGCGATCTCGAATAACAACTTCGCTACGTCAGGAATTGGTGGATTCCTTGACACATCGGAAATGTATTTCTTGCTTATCAAGTGCAGAGGTGTCAATCCATCCTTGTTAGCCAAATTAAGATCAGAACTACTTCTCATCAGTACTTCGGCCATTTCCGTGTTTTGCACGAATTTGTTCTTACCAATCAGATACAAGTGTAGTGGCGAATCTCCTGTTTCTGGCCAGAGGCAATTAGGATCTTGGCCGAGCTCGAGGAATTTCTCAATGGCGTACCAATCGCCATACATGCAGGCGACATGGAAATGTGACAGTCCAGATTCGTCGGTGTAATTGACGTCGTTACGGTTGTATATCTCAAATAGTTGATACATCGTATTAGTGTGACAATCTTGTTTAGCCGCATGATGCACCGGTGTGGTGCGACGCGACGATGGCTTCCCGTCTGCATCGAGCTTGGGCTCGTCTTTATATTCGGTGATGCACAAGAAGTCAATGAACACTTCGAGTTTTTTGATGTACTCTTTGTCTTCAAAAAAGTTGATGTAATCCATGGCAAGACGCTCGAAGTTTTCGAAACTTAAAACGTCTTGGAAACTTGGAAGTAAGAGTCGTCGACTGTAAAATTGTTTGAATAATTGATCAACTTGACGGATATATTTGCGTCGCTCGTCCACGATCTCCCACTTGGTATTTTCTTGTAAACTCTTCAAAAGTCTTTCTGTCTTAACTGCAGCTTCTTGTCCATCGAAACTCGCAGTGGATTCTTCTCTGCTAGTGCAGTCTTCGATTATAATAGTATCCATCGTTCAACTCACTTAAACACAATTCACAATTACTAATGTATTTTTAAAAATTTTTTTTACACGAGAATCACTTGCTATATATCTATTAGATGTTTACGCTGCGGTGTCGTAACGTGTACTGATCTTTTACACGCACTACGATCTGTATAGAGAATTAAAAACTCGTAGGTGAAGCTACAAGAGATAAAAGTAGCTATGTACAGTCAGAGTCGTTGAATTCGGTAACGATTAGAATTTAGAAAGCGTAAATCTAGCGTAGCGAAGGCCGTTGACTACGCTAGATTTCGGCCGTAATGTCAGTAGCAGATGGCTAAGCATATAGAATGTTGTCCCCTACTTCGCTAGACTGACGATTTCAATTTTTATCGAATTCCATGAATTTTGATTCAGGCGGTCGGTAGGAAAAACATAAGAGAAAGTAGAAATAATACAGAGGCACTACAACTAGACTGCTTTTATACATAACTCGGGCATAGATCCTCCAATGAGTTTTTTCTTTTTTTTAATCGAGTATTTAAAAGGAAACTCGTCGAGTTTTTTCGAGTTATCGCACACTTCTACTATGGATCATGGTCGGTCAATGTAGTTATTCTACACGTTTGTAATTAAAATTTTTGACTTCCTATACTATCCAAAAAAACAAATGCATCTCGTTTTCATAGGATTTATTTAAAAACGCAACCCGTGACAATGTAACACCATTATCGATTGCGACGCGCGAATGATTACAAAGGTTACGCTAAGGCATACAAAAATAATTTGCTCAATTTGTTTATCATAAATTATTATTGAAGATCCGTACCTAATTGACATAAGATAAACTATCCAAATAAAACATTGCGAATGCCCATGTCGATCTGCAAGTTTTGATTTTAATTATTTATATTAATGTTTGTGATTTTATTTTTATATAATATGTGGGTGCAGTAGACAAGTGTCGTCAAATGAGAATTCCCGGCTAGGTTTGTTTACTGGGGATTAACGGATTTGTGATCGGGGACACTTTTTCAGCAAAATGCCTTTCATGTCGGTTTTTTTGTAAAAATTTTTATCAATAATTTTTATGTTTGAATAGCTTGTCTCATCTGGTATCGTTATACAGTATCGTTGTTTATTTATAATTAGTTTAAATATTACCGATAAAAGAGTAACACATTAGACATCAGATGGTAGCAATGGTAAAGTAGAGTATGGTAAGAAATGGTAAGTTAACGGTAACGGCGTAAGCGTGGATGATATAATTTGGACTTGTGACGCAACGGCGCCTGATTCAAAAATATGTGAAAATACGAAATTATTTAGAAGTTTAAATGCAAAATAAAAGCTTAGATTTTTATTGAATTTTTAGCTAATGTCTTATGAGATTATCTTTAAAAAATAGTGATTCGACTTTGTACAGTAATATCTTTTGAAAATGCCCATTTCCATCTTGACTTTAATAAAAAATTACTCAAACCCTTACCCTTATAACAGAGCAGTATTCACAAAGTGATTTGTAATATCATAAAAAATATTTTCAAATATAATTCATAAAAACAAACATGTTATTTTCACTCTGAATCTGAATGTATTTCAAGATTTCGAGCAGACTTTAGGGAAATTTTTGTGGTAAGGTTAATTACAAGGATGTAGTTATTAAAAAAGGTAGCACAAAATTACACAATTTCACTGAGTAAGTAAACATTATATTTACTGTTATATTTATTTTAATTCTAAGGCACTTGTTACCTATATAAAAATGTGTAAACGTCAAACATCGCCAATGAGAATAATATTTAAATACTGATGTAAAAAAATAAAAAAAAATATCGCATCGGTACACTCATGTGGCGATAAACAATTAAGGCATTCGAATTTTTCGTAAAGGCACCTCTCTGTTGCACGCGATCACGAAAGCTTTTAAAAAAGTTCATTTAACGCTGTGTTTGCATTCATTGGAGAAAAAAAGAACTAAAAACGTTTGGTAAGAATTCACGACAACATAAAATCATGACGAATTCATTACACAAACTGATCAATTTGCAGCTGAACAGACGAAAAAAAAAAAGAAAATACAAACTCTCCTCGGCAAAACCTGAATGTTCATTTCAGTTTCAAGCAAAATAGATATTACAACTAAGAAATATCATTAAAGACTAAAAGAGAAAAATGTAGAAATCATACGTATTCTGAAATCGTAAAAAATATGAACCCCTGAAAATATCGATTTGCGTGAATGAAAAGAATCGCTACTATTTCATATGTATTCATACATAAATCACCAATCAAAAATAGCACAAGGATGTTCGATACTTCACTTTCATTAATTCTGGCACATATTTATAAAACAATATTTAAGTTACTTAGCAACGCTGAGATTTTTTATGTACATAACATAATTTTTTCGACTTGCTATAAAAGAGATTTAATGAACGCAAAATTGAGTCATATCAATAACTTTTGCACGATCATTCGCATCGATCGATAATTTACAGAAGACGAACGTAGGGCATCAACCCACATTCGCTTCGTTACTTATTGCAAAGAAATCATAAGATAACGATTTTAAATATCAAGTCTCTTTTTAACACTTATGCACAATACAAAAAGCAACTGCCCCATTAAATGACAACATTATTTTTTTTACGCTTCTTTAAACAAGTCATTCGACGTACAAATGCTTGAAAAAAGCTTGACTGCAGTAAAAACTGTGAGTTGTTTTGACGATACCATCAATCGGCCGACTCTGCGGCTTTTCCAAAGACGATGGAAAAGTCGAGAGATCGCTCACTCGCTCAAAAAATATAACTTTTTATACCCTTAACAAACGACTGCTTGATATATATGTATTTATGTATATTTCGTTACAATACCTTAGACTGTAGTTAATTCCAACACTCGTATATTTATAAATATATGTTCAAGATCTGAGAGAAATGACTGGATAATTAATGAATTTTCGATAAAACTGGTAAAATATCATAATCGTAACAAGTTTTTCGTAATGTACAAAACATATTTAGAAAAGCAACCTTGTTACTAGCTCAGATTTCTCTCGAGATCGTATAAAATACGTACTAAGCTGCCACATAAACTTAATTACATGTATAGGTGTAATATTAAATTTATCGACAATAATACATGAAGGAAAACGAACAGTCCATACGCCAAATTAATACAGTTTTTCTTCGTATGAATTAAATTGAAAGAAAAAAAATTCTTAACTCTAAAAAGTAAGATGATATTTAAAACTTTCGATAATTGCTTTTGAATAATTTTTTTGTCGTATTTTCATGCGATTAATGCATTACATTAGGTAAGACTTAAGAAAATCTTATATGCTAAAAAATGTTGACAATGTTTCCTCTTTCATTTTTCAATATATGTATTAAATTTCAAAGACTGAAAATCCATAACAATTATAGACTTTTTTCTCGGATAAAAAATATATGCATACATGCCTACATATATATTTATACACCTTTTTTTATTGCGTTCATACTGACAATTCAAATATTAAAAAAAGTTCGTCTAAAACATGATTATATGCTTTTTCAACAATTGATGATTGATCATATTAACAAATTGATATGGACGGTATTCTTTACCTTAAAAAAGCGATATAACCCTATCGCTGGGGATTGTAAAATCGATTGCAAGGCACTGTTTATTAACAAATATAATTCAAAATTTCCTTAGCACCTTCGTTATCGCAATTGTTTTTTTTCTCGTAAATATTAAATTCTGTACAAAATTTGCTTAATTAAAATGTTTATAATTAAACATCGTTTTATTGCTAAAAATGCTTTGTGTCTCAACGCTTCTGTCCTTTTGTCAAAAATAAAAACCATTTAAATTTAATAAAAAAAGACCGACGAATTTCATCGTCTTCGTAATCAGTGGATAAAAAATAAAAATTAATTTGTTGTGCGTTACATATTTGAAATGATTTCAAATAATTATAAAATGAAAAAAAAAATAATAAGGATTGATTCGTTAAACGTTACGATAAAATTCTTACGATCAATTCAATAGATCATGGCACCAGAAATGTTAAGAGATATTATAAATTCAACGCAAGATGAATGTTAACACCGTGGATGGACAGGAACGTCACTCATAATATATATATTCATTTCAATTCTTAACTACTTTGACCTATTATCCTTTTAAAATTAAATCTACACAAGTCCTAGACAACAATGATTGATTGCTGATAATCAAAAAAAATTTTTTTTCGTTCTCCGCGTAAAAGTGCTGCCGCCCGCGATATCCATCTATCTCTGGCAAACGGCAATCGAAGGAGATAGAGAAAGAAAGAGAGATATATTTACACACATGATCCATTTACGCACACAACATACGTCGAAAGTATCAAACACAATTTGACGGACTTTGCGGGGTTTAAAAATTCGTCGAAATCCTATGCACTTCTTTGTCCCGTAGGGAGTTTTTTTTCTTCTGTTTTCATTGACTTCCCCGATCATAGAGTCGTCAATTTTGATATAAATAAATAAACGTAAGGCCGTACACCAGCAGCAGCTAGTGGCATCTCGTCGAACGTCGACGCGCCGATGTGGAGGACGAGACGACGCACTAGAGCCACGTAAGTATGTTCTCTGGTTTGGTGGTGTTGCCGACTGGATTTATCAGAGACTGCACGTCCTCGAGGATGTCGCTGCTGAAATCCTCGCCGAGCTAAAGTCGATGCGGAAAATCAAAAGGAAAAGAACTGTTATTCGGGCTATAGAATGGGTGTAACTTTTGGCGATGCGGCGGCGTGATCGACGAGCGCGAGGGACGGATCACGCATCGATCGGGTTACGTACCTGGAGGGACGGCACGAGATCGTCGGTGTTGTCGATGTTGTCACCTAGCGACATGCCGTCGGGCGTCTCCATGGGGGTTCCTTCTGCGAGACGAGAAAGTCAAACGATTAGATATAGTGATATAATTCCTTCGAGAAGACCACCTGAGCTCAAAGTCGTAGATTTGCTCCAAAAATTTGTAAGGTCTACTGATAATTGATACGTAATAACGAAGCATCCTCAAGCAATTGGAACAGATTGGACTCGTGAAGCTTCATGAGTACTCATTAATTTTTTGGAGCAAATAAATGATCTGGAGTTCAAGCGATCTTTAATCCGACAAAGATATAGGAAACTAACCGCTCGTGACGTCCATGTTATCATCGATGTTGGCCAAAAAGTCTTCGGGCGTGTGGGGCAGGGAGTAAGCCGATCCCAGACCCAGACCGCTGTCGGCGCTCTCCTGTCGGGCGTGCTGCTCGTTGATGCCCGACAGGAACGGATCCATCGCGGCGTCCGTCGTGCTCTGCAGCAGCATTCGCTCTTGCTGCAATTTTACAAAAATCACGAGCAAAAATAAATACGCCAATTGTCAATCGTATACGAGATATGATCAATTTACCGAACTCACCTGTCGCATGATTTCCTGCTGTCTCTGCTTGAGTCGCTCGCGCTCCATCTGCAGCGAGTGCAGGCGCATCTTCTGCTGGCAGGCCTGCACCGTCTGGTTGTTCTGGACGCTGGCGGCGCTGGGCACCTGCTGCTGCTGCTGCTGCTGGATCTGCCAGGTCTGCGGCAACATGGCGCCAGAGGTCGGCGCGCGCTGAAGGTGCGACGCTGCGAGGAAGAGAAAAAATCACCAAATTAATCTTTGAAAAATTTAACAAATAATGACTCAGGTCACTGTCCTTATTTTCAATGAATTTTGAATTAATATTTTACATAAGATCAAAACTTGATATGATAATTTTTTTCTGTATGAAGTCGTTATCATTAATACTAATTATTGAACGAAAATAAGGACAGTGACCTTACATAATAAATGAAGATGATGAACTTACGTATCCTCGGGTCGAACCACGAGGTGGTGCGCTCCTGATGATTGATGAAGTAGATCTCGCCCTCGGGCGTCCTGGCCTGCTCCCAGCCGTGGGGCAGGGGTCCGAGGGCGTTGTTCGAGACGGCCGCTGCTGCCGCTGCCGCTGCTGCTGCAGCCGCTGCTTGATTGGCGGCCTTGCCGGCCGACTCGACGGCCGCCGCAGCGACAGCCGCCACGTTGGCCGCCGCGGCGGTCTTGCGCGGATCCTCCCAGGTCGTGGTTCTCGTCACGTGACTGCAAAAGAAGAGAGACGCAACACGGTTATTGGTGTGGGAGAAAATTTTATATTCATAGAACGTCTTATTTAGAAATTTCGAACGAGCTTCAGAATTTCAGTCGCCCTTTGAAATAGTTGATATTTTGACTGCGGATGTCATTTTATTCGATTCCGATTCGAGTCAAAAGTCAGTCGACCAATCAGAGGCCGTATAAAATGTCTTCATTTTCAGGTCCATCATTATATTATGAAACGAACGGGCAGAGGATACATACTCAATGATATTAGGATTTAAGGGAAATATATATAGTGATCGGAAATTTGTTGACCACTTGCGAGTTTACAATACTCCATCTGCCGATGGAATCGAAAGGCTCATAAGCGAGCATGCAATTTATACATCAACGTTATATTGTGAGGTGACCATTGTTCGTTATATACTAATCAAAAGTTTTTTTGCCTCTTGCAAGTTTACAATGCTCCATCTGTCGATCAAGTTAAAAAGCTCGCGATCGAACGCGCCACCTCTCATTATACAGTAAATCTCTTTACGATATACAAATCGTATTCCAAAATATCCAGTCACACATTTTTTATATACTAAAGAAAATAGCAACGATTATAACACATAGAGGCTCGTCTCGCGTGTCTCGACGATCGCTCGCAAGTGATTCGTCATGGCATTGATATAAAGGGCTACATACATACAGAGAGAGAAAGACACAATTCAAGACACAATCGTGTCGCGCACGAGCCAACCCGCGTAAGTAATATCCGTGTCTATATATAATACGTGCGTTTGTATTATGCGTATATACGTGCACGCATTTGATTGTGATTATAAATAGCTATCGGGGCACGTATGTGTATGCGCTGCTGCTGCTATGGTGCCGCCGACCGCGCCTGGGAATTCGCACACTGTGCACGCGTGGCAAGAAACTTGCATACGCCCTTATCTCGCGTTACCGACTTTATAACTAATTCCTTCGAAAGTATAGTATCTATGTCTCAAAAATCGGTTCTCTCACCCAACTCGAAACATCGTCTCGTATGTAATATGTATATTGTTATATAGCACACGCGAGGCGGTGGCGGCTGCGTCGCGACCGATCGAGCCTATTTTAGCAATCGTGTTTCACGAGGCGAGGAAGTCGCTGCCGTTGTATTATATGCGTTCACGTGCCGCCAATCGCAAGGTGGGACAAGTCGACGACGACGCTGCGAAGAAATGACGTCAAGCGCGAAGTCAGTGTGTGCCATATTATGCTGTGTGCCTTTTACAGTTTTTCCTGTCCAAAATCGTAATAGCCGATATCGCTTCATCTTTCGTGTCTTTTTTTTTTTTTTTTTTTGTTATTACGCCTATACCGATCATGAAAGGCAACCGCGCCGACGACGACGGTGTGAATCGACGACTAACACACACGCACGGTCCACCTGTTGTCGGCGATGATCGTTAAACCGCCGTACGCCATTTTTTTCTTTCGACGAATGTTAATTCAAAATTACGGAACGGTTTCGCTTATGCATAAATCAATTGATAAGTTTAACGAAACGTTTTTCGCGATAATCTTCTTCAGCGGTGTATGGATGCACGGATCGTTGCTCGCTGTGCTGCTGGCTATACATGGTCATAAATAGCATTATACGTATACACACGCTGTGCGCGCGCGCTGTAACGCCGATTTGTGCTTGCGCTGTTTATATATATGCCGTATATCAACTTGATATTCCGCAAATCTAAATTTAGATCCGGAAACTTTCCTCGCGCACGCGCCCGACGACGACGATGATCACGATGATGATCGAAACGTGTATATAAAATACGATCCGCGAGCGCCGGTCTAGAGGTATATGTCAGATTTATTATTTCGATAATCGATGCGAGGAGGACTATACTCGAAATCGAATCGAACCGAGAGATAATGAATATTCGCGTTATACAATTGTGCGCGCGATTAGCCTCGAGCATATATATAGTTTATATATAGAACGCGCATCGTTAAACGAATTTGTAAAATTAAAGCTGGCCTCTTCTACTTTACTTTTTTTGTTGCTTTCGTTGTATATTATACACTTCACTGTACAGAGGGAATTGTGTGCAAATTTTTCTCGCGGTGGATAAGAAATGCACATACCGATCGTGATCATTCGGCTTCGGAGTTTTAATCGGCATCTTATAATACACCGTTTGCACGCATACAATATAACGATCTAACTTTATCTCTTTCTCTTTCTCGGGTAATAAAAAAAAAAATTTCGCCGCGATAATTCCAAACATGGACTTCTTTTTTAATTTCGTCGATCCGATGTGCATCTCGAAGACAAATACACGCATGCGAAGGCGGAGGCGCAACACCAGCTGTATGTTATTACGAAACGATAAAAAAACTCTTTTCCTTTCGTTCGTACGATATAATCGACTCGAAATATAATTTTTATTTTATCATCGTGCGTTATTGAATATTTGATAATCTATATAAGTAAGCGGCACAGCACGAGCGGCTTTATATTACCGTTTCGATTTACCACACATGCGATTGACTTCGATCCAATTTGCACAAATATATAATACACATGTGTGTGTATATTTGCTCAAAAATTCTCGCGATCGTGAATAACAATTTTATGAATGAATCACACACGATTCGTTGCTATGTGTACACTTGCACGCGCGAGCGCTCAAACGGTAGGTACACACATCGATCTAAATTCAGTGAATCACATAAATTCCATCAATGAGGATCTCTCGAAAAAGAGCGTGGAGATCGATATCTCGCGTACATCGCGAATTTGGCGGTCGTTTTTGACGCAGAAGTCGACCGACTTAAAAAAAAATAAGCAATTGTCGAACGCGATCGTTTGTTCGTCTATTATAGAAAATCGGCAGCGATCGGCGTCCGTATACACCGATTGAATCTTCGAGCTCATTCGAGTTTTTTATACGTAATATAATATTGTAAAATGTGCAGCGAGCGAAAAATTTTATATTTGTTCGACTCGCGTATATGTTATTATTACAAGAGAGCTGGCTTTCGTACATGTATGTGTGTGCACGCCACCGCGCGAGCGGCAGAGAGTCATAAAAGCGAGGCGAACAATTAATATGAATGAAAGTCGAGCGTGCGGTATATATATATATATAGAGTCGGTCGCCGCCGCAACTGGAATGCAGAAATTGACTCCCTCTTCCTTTCTTATGCATGTTGTGGGTTATATATATAATACAACTCGCATGTAACTCTCATTGTTCCCCTCCAATAGCAGCGTCGTCGTCGTCGTATCGTCGGAAACGTAACCCAAGGTTTTTAATTCGTTTTTTTATTCGTTTTTGTTTCAGGCGCGGAGGCTGCGACTGAGAGTATACAAGACAGGCGCGAGAGACAACGACAATAGTTCTACGCGTAGACGACGACGACGACGAGAAGTAAAGAAAAGGAAAAATATGAAAAAAAGAGCGAATGTCGAAGCCGAACGAAAATAGCGAGATTTGCCATTATATAGACGATGCTGCAAGTTGAAAGTGGTTAAGGAGATCGATCGGCGACCAAGTCGATGCACAGAAACGATGCGACATTTTCCCGAAGAAAAAGACACTTTTTGTTGCTGCCATCGGGGTGGCGGCGCGCATCGTTTATTTTCGGGTCATATTCTGTAAGTATCTTGTAATCTATAATTCGCGAGCTGCGCTCGTGGATTTAAAAGTTTTCTGCGCAACGACGATCATCATCATAGCTGTTGCCGGCGAGGAAAAATCGTTGTATAGAAGTGTCGAAGCGAGCTTAATACATATTTACGCTAGCTTAATACATATTATATATATTACGAGCAATATATATTTTTATTTATAACGAGGTGCTGCGCGATAAAAAAAATTCAGTATAGACTCGCGTGCGCAAATATAACGCGCATTTCATATAATATTGTGTGTGTATACGCCGTACAGTCGCGATGTAAAAGCCTCGCAGCTTTCGCGGAATCACCGAGTGTATACACTCATACACGTACACGCGCGCTGATTAGTCAGCTCGAAATCGGCGGCGGCGCGCACGATATACAAGATCGTTATATATACATATAGAGCCGCATGTATATGTAGTAGTCGCTCTCGACTTTCATTCATGAAAAAAAGTCCGTGTATAGCTCGCTCTCGGGCTGGTTGCACATCTCGAAACGAACTGCGACTTCGAGAGAAAAAAAAGAAGAAGAAACCGCACTAGTAAAAGCTGTACACGCGCCACAGCTGAAGAAAAAGCTCGTCGTGCGAGCGATACGTGCTACACGCGCCGCGACGATCGGAATGGAGCGATCGAGCCCTGCGCAGCTGCTGCTGCGTGAGCATCGAGTGCCGTTCAGTTGGCGCGAGTCCAAAAATCATCGTCGCGCTTACTACAACGGGGCGACGTCGCGATTGCAGCAAAGAGAGCCTATATCGAGTTCGCCGAGCGAGTATGTAAGCCCGTGGCGCCCCTCGAGCAGTTCGAAGCTCGATGCTCGACGCAGTGTATTCGCGATTTAACTCGTCTCGCAGCAAGCAGTGCTGCTGCTGCCTGACGATCGTGTGTATTTTTACACCGGACATCGCGGCGCCGGACAACGCTCGTAAATAGACACGCCGCGCGCATATTATGCGGCGGCTCTCTCTGCGGCTGCTGTATACTGTACACTATAAAGCACACACAGGGTCTGGCCTGGCTTGTCTATGTGCACCGAGAGTGTCCACATAGTACTATGATCCAATTCAACCAAAGCACAGGGTGTTTTTTCGATAATAGACTCGTACAAGTTTTCTTGAACTTCAAAGATCTCGCAAAGCACAAGAAGCTTTTTATCGAATTATAAGCGCACGAAGAGAGGATACGATACGAAGCGCTGAGCAAGCCAAAGCCGGCAAGATTCGCTCGTTACGGCGCTCGCGTATAATAGATAGATATATATGCGCAGCGGCTCGAGTTCTCACGCTGCAGCAGCTAAACAGCGGCAGCAAGAGGGTGCGTGATTATTATGCGTGACTCAC